ATTTTTTTTTTAGAGTCACACTTGTGTGAGATCGTCTCATGAATCTTTATCATTGAGATGGGTCGGGCCGGGTCAGGTCAATATGCAAATGTGATACTTATATTAACAAATATATAATACTAATTAGGAATAAAGTGTTTGTTACTTATAAGAGAAAAAGCAATACTTAAAACTATTACTTTTTTCATAAAAAGTATTACATTTTACATTATAAGTAATATTTTTGATGAAAAAAGTTATACGTTTACATCAAAATGTAAAAGTATTACATTTGTCCTCAAAATATTACGTTTTCTCTTATAAGTAACAAACAATTTATTCCTGATTAGTATTACATTTGCTAGTATATTGACACGACCCAACCTACCCGTCTCACACAATGAGACCTTTACGAAAATATACCAGAAGTCATTCTTTATTTACATGAATGAATATTTTTCCTATATTTACAAGAAAATAAAAAAAATTTAGAAAATATTTTCTGATTAAAAATTTAGGAAGACATTTTTCGCTAAATTGGAGGGTGCTTTATTTATTTTTTTTTATTTTTTTTTATCATAATAAATATTTTCCTTTAACCTTATTTTTATTGAATACTCAATCACAGAAAAGTATGAAAAAATGACTTCCAAAAACCCTTTTTTTGATTTTCAAACAAACACTTTTAATGCAACAATAGCAATTTTTCCTTTTTTCTTTTTTATTCAACAAAATCAACATACATGACTACACCAATACTATTTTAAAATACACCAAATATTTTCCAAAATTCTCCATACAACTCTTAACTTTACACACACAAATCACATCAAGGACATGCAAAATATATAAATAAATAATAGATATTTCAAATCAAGGTACATTTCGTAAATTGGAATAGGACTAGAGAGGGTTTGAAGTAATCAGTAGTAGCAGATTACATCTCAAAATAGTACTAAGCTAGTTGCTCACCAAATTCATCACAAACAACATTAATTTGGGGAAGGGGGGGGGGGGGGGGGGGTGAGAATGATAGAGAAAATGATGTTCTCAGCTATTTATGAGTAATAGTACACTTAATTTAGGGGTAAAAATTGTGCCAAACATGGTTCCGATGGCTATTTGATCTTGATAATTGGTATCAGAGCAGGTCACCGGCAAGTATAAAGAAATAAAGTTGTATATTTGTTACTAGCTATATTTTTTGGCAAGTTACTTCCTCAATCTCTTTTTACATATCATATTTATTATTAATTGGTTAAAATAACTATTTTTCATTTGCTTGTTTTCTTTAGTATTTTTTTTATTTTTATTTTTTGTTGCACTTTTAATGTAGTATCTAAAAACATAAATTTTATATACTAATACTAAATTAAATATTAAAAAAATTGAATTGAAAATACACTACTGGAAATTCTGAAATTTTCGACCACCTGAAAGTTATCTTAAATCAAGTCTAAAGTCTTGTTCCGATCACTTTTGGTATCCGGAAAAACCCTTGTTGCTATTTCTGACCACTTTTTGCTTTCAACTTGATTTAAGATCATATTCAGGTGGTCGGAAATTCAATAATTTCCAGTAGTGATAACATCTATCAAATTTCGTTAACAGAACCAAATATATAAAATGATACGAAAGAGTAATTTTTTAATAAAAGTAATATAACAGGTATATTTTACCAATAAAATTTTTATGTGATATGATTGTCAATGCATACCATAGGGTAATAGCGCCAATTTTTCTTTATCATTCCAAAAAAAAAAAAAAAAAAAAAGTTGTGTGTGTGTGCCATTTTTATTTTTATTTTTCAAAACATTTCCTTTGGTCCTAGTACTATTATTGTGGCATGACAATTTTTAGTCATACGTCAACAAAACTGTTTAAATAATGACGTTAAAAATAAGGGCATTTTTGTCTATTCAGTTCTAATTGTTAATTCTTTTTTCTGTTTTAGTCCTAGATTTATATGCCATTCGACTTTTAATTTTAATTTTTTTTTTGTCAACAACATCCCTGTTGGTCCTAACATTATTGTACATGGCCGTTTTTGGTCATCTGTCAACAAATATGTTTAAATGACATTAAAAATGAAGTTATTAACCATTCAAAATCTTTCTTTTTTCTTCTTAGTAATAGAACAATTCAAAGAACATCTTCAAAAAACCATATACACTATCATACATTTTTTATAGAATAAATAATCCATATTTCATTTATAGCATAATGGAGCAAAAATTATTATCATTATATAAGTTTACTACAAAACCCAGAAAAAGTGAAATTGAAAAAATCACAAATCTACTTTATATATATGACAAACCTTAAGTCTAGTGCATAAATCTATTTCATAAAAATCGACAAGATCTCCGAAGCCCCTAACAATATACTTATTTAAAATATTTTTAAAGTAGACTTGTGGATTATTGTGAAATAATCTTGAGGATTTTTATGAAGTAGACTTATACACTAGACTTAAGGTTTGCCATGAAGTAGACTTGTGATTTTTTACCAATTGCACGTTTTTTGGATTTTGCAATACACTTACGTATTTGTAATAGTTTTTGCTCCATTATGCTTTTAATGAGTTATTATTGAATATTTTTGGTATCAATGAATGTATGATTAGTGTATAAGGTTTTTTGGATGTAGAACCTTTGTATTGTTCTATTACCAAGAAGAAAAAAAGTGGATTTTGAGTGGTTAATAACATCATTTTTAATGTCATTTAAACATATTTGTTGACATAAGGCAAAAAATGGTCATGCAACAATAATATTAGGACCAATATGTGTGTGTGTGTGTGTGTGTGTGTGTGTGTGTGTGTGTGTGTATATATATATATATATATATATATATATATATATATATATATATATATATATATATATATATATTATGTTTTGATAAACAAGATTAAAAGTGAAATGACACATAAATTTAGGACAAAAAAAATAAAATGAATTAATACTTAGAACTGAATAGACCAAAATACCCTTATATTTAACGGTATTTAAACAGTTTTGTTGACAAAATGCCACAATAATACTGTCACTAAACGGATATGTTTTATAAAAAAATTTAATCTTTGAACTAACACCTATACATCTATAACAAAAAATGAAATTAACTCAATTTTGACTTAATTGATATGATCATACATTAATTAAATTTTATGTTTAATATATGTTCTTTGTTTGTGCTAAGACAATGTGGTCTAATGGCACTCGGGTTGCCCTTCCATATGGAAGGGAGTGGATTTTGGAGTTGCAAAAAGCTAATTAACCAAACACTTATATTGATATTTTAACTAAATCAAACAATTAATAGTCCAACCGAGAAGGTGGAGGAGGAGACTTGGGTTTTGATCGGGCGGTTTCTAACGGAGAAGGCGATCAAAGTTGAATTCATGCGACAGGTGCTCGCATCCGTCTGGCAACCGGTCCGTGGGGTACAAATAACAGAGGTCCAACCGAAGTTATTCATGTTTGTTTTCTACCATTATACGGATATACAATATGTGTTGGAGGGTGGTCCCTGGGAATTCCAGAATCACACGCTAGTATGTAAACAACTTCCGCCGGGCGCAATTCTGACCGAGGTACCTCTTGATACCGTAGAATTATGGGTCCAATGCTATGACTTACCGTTTGGATATACATCGGACAAAATTATGGAGCAGATTGGGAATTTTTTGGGGGTTTTCGTTAAGCTGGATGATCGCTTCCTTGATGCACCTTGGCTAACATATTACCGGATACGTGTTGCACTCCCGGTGGACAAGCCAATTAAGCGAAGAATGAGAATGATGAAACGCGATAAAACATATTGTTGGATCAATTTCAGGTATGAAAGGCTGCACACTTTTTGTTTTTATTGTGGAATGATGGGGCATTCTTATAGGTTTTGTCTAAAAGCCCGGAATGCTACGGTACCGGTGGAACAATTTCCATACAATGATGAGTTGCGGGCAGGGGGGTGCGTGGTCCCAGAGAGATTGGGGATCCATGGTTGGTGCCATTGGGGGGGTAAGCTGAAAGGTGATGTTGTAACGGTGGAAGAAAGGGGAATGAGGGATGGGGTGGGGGAGGACAGTTTGGAGGAGGGGCGGGGTGTGCATGGGGCCATGTATGCAGTTGCGAAAAGGAGGAGAGGGATGGATGGGGTGAGAGAGGACACGGGGTGGGTGAGGGAGTGGTGGTGGAGGAGGATATTGCAATGACAGATGTCCAAAAAAACTTGCAAATGACGGGTGCTGCGGTGCAGACCCGCCCGACCCAATGAGTACTTTGAGCTGGAACTGCCGTGGCTTGGGTAATCCACGGACAGTTCGGGAAATTGAGGACATGGTGTCTCGCAAGAAACCCGATTTTGTATTTTTGATGGAAACCAAGGTTAGCCGGGATCATGCAGAGCGACTCCAGATTAAGCTTGGATTCGAAGGTTTGTTTAATGTTGATAATTCTGGATTGAGTGGGGGTTTGGCATTGTTATGGAGAACGAATAATACAGCAAGATTGATAAGTTATTCTGATAATTACGTAGACGTTGAAGTGAGTATGCCAGGGTTTGGAAAATGGAGGATGACAGGTTTCTACGGCTTTTCAAAGCGTCCGCAGAGGAGAGAATCGTGGGATCTTATTCGTTCATTGGCAAACAAATCTGATCTGCCATGGGTTATAATAGGAGATTTTAATGATTTCTTATTTCAATATGAAAAACGAGGAGGTAATCCACATCCAGACAGCTTACTACGGGGTTTTGGAGAAACTATTGAGGAGTGTGGATTGACACAATTACCGATGGCTGGATATCCTTTTACTTGGGAGAAAGGAAAAGGCACGCCAAACTAGATAGAGGAACGATTGGATAAGGTTTTAGCTACACAGGAGTGGAGGGAGCTAGTAACTGATGCTAGTGTGCACAATATATTAACCCGGAAATCAGATCATTCTGCTCTTTTCCTTGAGATTCTCAATCTTCGGGAAAGGAGGGGTGGCCTAAGAAGGGGTTTTCGGTTTGAGATGACATGGTTACATGATGAAGGATGTAGGGATGTGGTTGAAAAAGCCTGGGGTGAAGGAAGGAATAGGGGGCTGCAGGATTGTGTCACGTTTTGTGGTGAACGGTTAACACGCTGGGGTGGAGACCGTTTTCACAAATTCGGGGAAAAAATATTGAACTTACGAAAGGAACAGCTACGTCTTAGAGGACGTGCGGATCCGGTGTCTCTAGTTGAATTTCATAAGATAGATGAGTCCCTGACTCGTATTGAGTTGCAGGAAGATACTTACTGGAGACAGAGGGCCAAACAGCATTGGCTCAAGGATGCGGATGCAAACACCAGGTTTTACTACAGGTACGCTTCTCATCGAAAGAAAAAGAATTCTATTACTAAGATTATGAATGGTAATGGGGATTGGATTGAGGGAGATGCCATGAGGAATGTTATCTTGAATTATTATCGTGATATTTTTGACTAAAGTACTCCTACTATTAATGATAATTTCTTTGATAGTATACAACCACGAGTGACAGCCACGCAGAATGAGGGCCTGTTGCGCCTTTTTGAAGAGAGTGAGGTTAAATCTGCATTGTTTTCAATGTATCCTGATAAAGCACCGGGACCGGATGGGATGAACCCCGGATAAAATCAGCACTTCTAGGATGTGGTGGGTAGCGATGTTTCTACTTATATTGTGAATTGTCTGAATACTAAATCGTTCCTTGATAAATTAAATGAGACGAATGTTATCCTGATCCCAAAAAAAAAAAACCCCCAGAGATGGTTTCTGATTATAGGCCAATTGCTTTGAGTAATGTGGTTTACAGAATTATGGCCAAGGTTATTACAGTTAGAATGAAGCCTTTGATGGAGAGTATCATATCTGAGTCACAAAGTGCATTCATATCTGGGAGATTAATTACATATAATATATTGATAGCTGCGGAGGTAGGCCATTATTTGAACAGGAAGCAATGTGGACTCATGGGTTGGGGAGCTTTAAAGCTAGATATGGCCAAAGCCTACGACCGTATGGAATGATCCTTTTTTACGGAAAATGTTAATGGCCCTGGGGTTTGATGGAAGATGGGTGGAATTGTTGATGATGTGTGTAACCACTGTATCTTATAGCGTGCTGGTGAATGGGACACGGAGTGAACAAATAGTCCCGACTCGTGGTCTAAGACAAGGTGATCCCCTCTCACCTTATCTATTCATTATTTGTGCTGAAGGGTTTTCACTATTGTTACAGCAGGCGCAGGCGAAAGGAGAAATACATGGCTGTAGGGTTGCTAGAGGAGCCCCCTCCATTACCTACCTATTTTTTGCCGATGATAGTCTACTTTTTTTCAAAGAAAATGTGCAGGAGGCGGAAGTAATTAAACGTTGTTTATCGGAGTACGAGGAAATGTCTGGCCAGGCAGTAAATTATCATAAGTCGAATATTTTTTATAGTAAAAATACATGTGAAGAAACAAGGGAGGAGGTTGCCAATATATTGGGTGTAGTGCAGGCTCAGAATTTTGGGAAGTATTTAGGGCTTCCATCGTTTGTGGGCAGGAATAGAAAAGCAGCGTTTTCATATATTGAGGATAAGATAAGACAGAGGATCAGCTCATGGAATAAAAAATTGTTGTCACAGGCAGGAAAGGAAATTCTATTGAAAAGTGTAGCCCAATCTATGCCTACCTTTTCAATGAGTTTTTTTTACTGCCTACGACTTTGTGCACTGCCATTGAGCGAACCATGAATCGATATTGGTGGAGATCCAAGAATGACCAGGGTATACATTGGAAAGCATGAGATAAACTATGTATTCCAAAGAAATATGGAGGTTTGGGGTTTAAAGAGTTACGTGCCTTTAATCTTGCTATGTTGGGTAAGCAAGGGTGGCGTTTTCTGACACAACCGCAATCATTGGTTTCGAGAGTTTACAAAGCCAGGTATTATTCCACTAATTCTTTCTATGATGCATGCTTGGGTAATAACCCAAGTTTTTGTTGGTGAAGTATCTTGGCAGCACAAGAGTTGATTTGTGGGGGAGTTAGGAGGAGAATTGGGGATGGCAAATCAACTCTGATTTGGGACCACCCATGGTTACATGATGAGAATCACCCGAAAATAGAAACAGAAAAACCACCCCAATTGGCACAGACGAAGGTGATGGGTCTAATGGATCAACAAACAGGAACCTGGGATCAGGATATTCTCACAGATATTTTCATACCTGAGGATGTAGAACGGATTAAAAAATACCAGTGTCACCTGATTATGAGGATTTATGGTACTGGTATGGGGATCCAAAAGGAGAATACTCAGTCAAGGATGGGCATAGGAAAATAGTAGGTAACTACACCCAACCAGTAGGGACCTTTGATAAATGGAAAATTTTATGGAAGCTTAAGATCCCCCAAAGTGGAAGACATTTATATGGAGAGCTCTGAATAACATTTTGCCCACTACGAACAACCTACTTATAAAGAGAGTGGATATTGATCCAACATGTGCCATGTGTGGGATTATACATGAGGATATTGTGCACTCTTTAATCACATGTGACTATACGGCAAACATTTGGGCACAATCTCACCTTCCAATCCCCAATAGTGTCACAAATGTTTTCAGTGATTGGTTTAATGATTTGATGAATATTTTAGATGATAACGAGATTATTTATGCAGTGGCAATTCTATATTACATTTGGCGTGCAAGGAATGGGGCTGTTTGGGATGCATGATTGCCCAGGCCTCGGAAAATAATTGCGATGGCATCATCAGCTATACATGCTTGGAAGATCGCTCATCCAAGTCGTGTACAGCCGCTAATCAACACTGCCGCGTCGGATCAGATTGTTACGCCAGCGGCCACATTTGCAGCGTCATCTGCCACAAATGTTACTGCCATACCGACAGTAATCACGCCTGCCAGGGACGTCACTGCATTGCCGACGATCGATCAGCATCCTCCACAACCAGCTGCGCCGGGAACGGAACTCCTCAAATGTTACTTCGATGCAGCATACGACCCACGGCAAGGAAGGTATATTTCAGCTATGACCACTCCTATGGTAGACTGTTTTACACCCCTAATGGCGGAGGCTCTCGCATGCAAGGAAGTTTTGTCGTGGTTAAGGGATCGCGAAATAAACTCTATCGAGCTCTTCACGGATTGTTTAGTACTACAACAATACCTGTCGTCTATGACACGCTCCTCACGATCATACTTAGGCTATGCCATTGATAGTTGCAGGACTAGTATGTTAACTTTTGAGTACTGTTTGATTCATTATGTTCCTAGATTAGATAATTATTTAGCTCATACATTAGCATCTAATGCCTTTACTCAGTCGACTATTATGTATTCGGACTTAGGTCCACCAGCTGCTATTTCTGCATATTTCGAATAAATGCCGTACAGGCTCCTTTCAAAAAAAAAAAAAAACAATTAATAGTGGGGCATGGGCTTTCGTAGAATCCATGAGATGAACTTGGCCCTCCTTGGAGAACAAGCTAAGCCAGGTTCTATGATGAGCCGGATTTATAAGGCTCGATACTTCCCTACCAGTTCGTTCTTTGAAGCAAAATCTGGAATATGGAAATAATCTGTCATATGTTTAACAAAATAATAATAATAATAATAATAATAATAATAATAATAATAATAATAATAATAATAATAATAATAATAATAATAATAATAATTACTAAAATAATTAAAAATAATTATTTAGCATAATTGTGATGGAAATTTGTTTCGTCGTGTTTTTATGATGAAATTTGTAATGAAAGGTTAGCGAAAGAATTGCAACGATAATTTGTTTTGTCGTTTTCTAACAACGAAATTTTGTGACGAAATACTAAATTTGCAACAGAAAAGTTAGCGACGGAATCACGACGACAATTATTTCCGTTGTTATATTTCAAGACGACAATAGGCGACTGAATAGAGTTATTTTTTTCACGTGGTGGCGACGGAAGGAAACATTTCCGTTGTCAAAGCAGCGACGAACTCACGACGGAAAGATTTTCGTCGCCAACTTCGCGCTGAAAAATTCCGTTGTCACCGCTTGCAACGGATTATTTTCGTCGCTAAATGAAATACGACAAGCCTGTAGGCTACGGAATGAATTCCGTCGCAGAAATGAAAAATTCCGTCGCAAAACATGATTTGCGACGGAATTTTGGGCTTTCGTGACGGAAATTTTCCGTCGCGAATCGCAATTTTTCTTGTAGTGTTTGGAGGGGAATGATAGAGGTTCATCGTTCTTTGAAGCAAAATCTGGAATCTGGAAATAATATGTCATATGTTTGGAGGGGAATGATAGAGGTCCAAGATATTCTGCGACAAGGGTGTAGAAGATGTATCGGGGATGACATAACGACCACAATTGGAAAAGATCCATGCCTACCGGATGGAATAAACCCTTATGTTATGACAACGCTGCATGAATCGATCTCCACTGCCCCAGTTTCCTCACTACTTAATGCTAATGGAACTGGGTGGGATTATGAGTGTGTGCAAGATGTTTTTGAGCACCGGGATGCTACTTTAATCATGAACCTCCCACTAAGTAGTAGGCTCCCTGTTCTGGACAGCTGATCATAAAGGAAACTACACGGTTCGTTCTTGCTATCGAAGGCAGATGGGAGAAGCAAGATATGCGTTCATGGGCGAAGATATGGAGTCTACATGTTTCTCCTAAGGTGAGAAGCTTCTGTTGGCAACTAGCTTCACAATACTTACCATCTCGTGATATTCTTAATGGCAAGTGTGTTCATTGTTTGTTGACGTGTCACCTGTGTCGACATCAAGAGGAATCCGCAATCCATCTTTTCGCAACCTGCAATGAAATTAAGAAAGTCTGGAATGCATTGAACCTGCCGATCATATCCACTAATATCGGTAATGTCTCCAGCTATTTTTTTGAGAACCTAAATACATTAAATGGAGATTGTTTGTGTAAATTTGCACTGGCATGTTGGGGTATTTGGTGTAGCAGGAATGATTATGTGGAAGAATGCAACTTATTCAATGGACTTTATGCTACGATCTGCTTTGTCACTTTGGAACAATTGGAAGGGTGTTAATGAGCAAGAGGCACTGGTTAGTACCCCACTGATGAAGAGAATTGGAGTCCAACTTTGCATGGTCGTTTCAAGCTAAATACGGATGTGGCCATGGAGTCTAACAGTGGTACTATGGGTATGGGATGGATTATAAGAGATGAAATGGGTGTTCTTATGGCTGCCAAGAGTTCAACGTATTCGGGCTACTTTGATGTCAAGGAAGCCGAAACGGTGAGCATTCGAGAAGCACTAAGTTGGGTGAAGGCACTGGGCTATGGCGACATTGATGTGGAAACTGATTCCCAGATTGTTTTTTATGCTTTATCTTCTACTTCATATAACTCTCCTTTTAGTTTAATAATTGATGATGTAAAAGAGGGTGCATCTCCGATACGTGATTTAGTCTTTCGTTTTGCTAGGCGATCTGCGAATCGCGCTGCCCATGCTCTAGCTAGGGAAGCTGCATGTTTCTTTGTCAGGTTGCGGGGAGTGGTTCCACACTCCCCCTCAGTTTCTTGTCAACATTCTTGGTTCTGATATAATGCATTAAGCTTTTATTTAAAAAAAAAAAAAAAATTGGTGGTCAAATAAGCCAAAATTGGCACAATAATATTTGTAAAAGTGAAAATGTAATATATTTTTATGTGCCAATAAATTTTTATGTGGAGCAATCTAAGTTTATTAAGTAGTTGACTTTGTAACTTGACTCCATGAATAACTTATTCGCCTTCTTGATTTGAGCTGGTCAGCTATGGACAACCCAATTGTTATACCTAGACCAGGGTTCACACTGTATTATGGGCCCTGGTTCATGTGTTTGTGTTTTGTGTTATGACTTTTTGTGTCTTGCGTTATGAATTCTGTATCTTATGAATATGAATTTTGTACCTGAAACAAAGTAGTAATTGCGTCTTATGTTATGAATTTCTGTGTTTTGTATTGTGAAATTTTGTGCTTATGAACACAAATTATGTACCTAAATCAGATTTGAAAATAAGTAAATATATAACATGTGTATGTGTCTTGTGTTATTATTTTTTTGTGTCTTGTGTTAATTTATAAAATTATGTACCTTACGAGTAACAATTATAAATTTTGTACCTCGTCTTTTCAGTCCAGCTGGGTCCATAATGCTATGCTGTGTCTTGTGTTGTGATTTTTTGTGTTTTGTGTTATGAAATTCTGCACTTTTTGAGTATTAGTTATGTACTTCGTTGAATTCATGGACTATAATACTATATGTGGACTTTGGTCCATGATATCTACATCTACATCTACAATTATAATAAGAGCCAATAATGTTAGACCCTTAACTGGAATAAAAAAATATCGGTGGTAATTGTTTCTTAAAATGAATGGTTCATATTATTTTGGTTTTAGTATTTTTTTAATGATTTTCCTTATTTACCCTTTATTATATTATTTTCTTCCCTTAAATAACCTTAAATTCCGTTAGTATAAACTTTATTAACGGAATATTCCGTTAACTATTTATTATTCTTTAACTTACTCATTAATATCTATAAGAATGGTCTTAGCTAGGTTTAAATCACATCCCAATTAGAGTTAGCATAATTGTTAAACATATTCGTAGACTATCGCTATAAAAAATTTGTAAGTTAATTTTTACTGTATTGTAACCTTATATTTTGAATTATTTATTATCATCCTCTATTGACAGCAATTGACATTGACAAAATCTCAAAACAATTTGACTCACTTACTCATTAATTTCTATAAGAATGGTATTAGGTTCGAACCCCATCCCAAAGAGATATAATTTCATTGGTTATATTATCTTTATCTTCTACAATTCAAAGATTCATTACCTTCAAATTAAATTTATTAATTTATTATATTCACTACATTGTCTATTGTATTCTTTTTACATTATATTGTAATTAAATATCGAAGTTATAATAAAGGACATGTACTGAAGAGGAAGACAATGACAATGATACTCAAAAGAGAAATAAAAAATTTAAACAAAAAATAGTGTTTATTTAGACTATCGCTTTTAGACTAAATACTTAGATTAATGTTATTACAAAGTTGCAAACATTTATTTTTGTGACAATTATATATAATCAATCTCTCATATATTATCTTGCATTTATATATTTTAAATTACTAATTTAAATAAACAAATTCAACATTTATTTACCTACGCATGAACATTTTCTATATAATATTACATTAATATACTTTGAAATACTTATTTAAAAATAATCATTGTCATTATTCCATTTGCCCAAAACGCATATAAAAACTAGTATTGATATAATTTACCTGGACAATCTAGGTTGGTTCCCACAAAAAAAAAAAAAAAAAAAATATTATTACATTCTCACTGAAATTAAATATTACATATTTGGCATATGGTGAAAGACCGGCCCCCATAAAATTAATTGAAAATTAAATATTGAGATAACAGAGTCACTTTATATTATTAAATACAAAAAATCAACCAAAAAAACATCCAGAAAAAAACCCAAACAAAAAGGTAGTAATTTGTTTAAAAAAAAAAAAAAAAGAAGTGAAGAAAAATGATCATCATTACTTAATTAGCACAAACAAATATGCAGATTCCTTTTTATATAACAAAGATCCCTTAAAAAAAAATGCTAAAATTGAAAAGTTTATTAAACTCCAAAGCAAAAGGTAGGCATATTGAAGAACGGAAACCCAGGAGACGGCTCCGGAAAATGGTTATTATTATTGTCCACTCCGCCGCCGCTTCCGCTTCCGCCGCCGTCGCTAAGCGGCGCCTCCTCTTCCTCCTCCTCCTCCATCGGCAACCTCTCATACGCAACATTAGTGAACGAAGCGGCCATGAGTATGACCGGGCCGGCCGTCATCAACTCCCCCACCACGTTGCCGCCGACCACCTGCCCTTGCTCGCCGGCCAAGTATATCGTCAGGCTGGTGGCGCCCGGCGGAGCTGGAGGCGGCAGGAACGACCCCGACAGCGACAGGATCTCGAACCGGCCGTGCAGCGTGACTACCGTCCCGGCGGCCGCCGACTGGCGCAGGGTCACGTCCGTCACGGTGCCGCTGCCGCTCATCACGCATATCCCGCGCTGGCGCCGCCGCGCGTAGGTGGCGACGCAGTCGAAGACGTCGCAGCCGTTGCCTATTTCTAAGATGTGAGCTCTGAGGGTGTTTGCGCTCTCCCTTGCGATAATCACCGGCGGCTTTGGCTTGTTCTTCGACCCCGGCGGCCGCCCTCGTGGCCTGCCAGTATAGTTGATAATTATAGACAAAATTAGAGTAAATTTTATTGCATTTTTTAAATTATACTCTTGTCTTTGAATTTAAATCAATTAAATTTGATTCTTGATCATTCGGTCTCATTTTGTGTGTCTGATTTGGTTAAAGAGGTTTGACTGAAGTTGTTTTTAATCCAATTTTTCATAAAATTATGTTTAGCAATTTTTTTTGAAGAAAATATAACATTAGATTAAGTTCGGAGACAAAGCATTACAAATGATAGAGGGTGGCTTAGAAGACCACTCCGAGCAACCAGAGAAACAGATGGTTTAGCTAACAAATGCGCAACCTGATTCGCTAATCGTTTTACAAAAGTGATAAACACATGAGATAGTTCACTCAATAGATGTTTAATATCTCTAAGGATTAAGCTAAAATAGGAGTCTCCACAGGTTTAGTTTAGTATTAGTATACAAAATTTATATTAAAGAGATGGTCAATTTCAATTTTAATAGTTGGGAATTGGAACAAACTTAATCAATTTTAAATTTTAAAATTAAAAGTAAAAACTGTAATAATCAAATAATCAAAATTGAAATTAACTATAAAAATTATGCAGTTAGCTAGGTACAAGAAATTAAATGAAATTAGACCCTATGTTTACTTTAATTCGTGTATTTTCATTTCTCTAATTTTTTATTTTTTATTTTTTAAATTAAAAAAAGTAAGAATAATCACATTTAAAAAAAAATTATTTTATAATTTAGCATTTCATCTCCAAAATTTTTAAAAAGAATTAGTAAATTCCATTGCCATTTATCTTCTCCTAAAAATTGAATTCCCATCCCGACACTGACAAAGCATTTAGAAGAATATAAATTAATGTAATTCAATGGATCAGCACAAGAGATTGCCATGCCTTGGTCTCTTCTCCAAAATAGTATTTACTGAACCAATGAACTAAGCTCGTCCATTGCCATGGCAAAATAACAGGAATCTAAAGTGAAAATAAGTGGGAGTGATATATAGATACCTGCGAGTCCCGATATCGCCGGGATCAGAGTTGTTGGGTAGTGAGTCAAGACTGCCACCGCCACGGCGGTGGTCGCCGGAAAAATGGTTGCCGTCGTTAACTTCATCGTCATTCTCGTGAAGGGGGAGCCTTTGCCGATTGAACTCCGAGAGGTTAAGTTGATGATCGTAGTGAGAAGCAGCGCTCAAGTCTAAACCAGCCATAAACAACATCCAAAGATAATGTATATAGATAATATCAAAACAATTTTTTATTTTTTTTTTTATTTTTTTGGTCCACTTGGTATTGAAAGACCAGAAGAAAATTAAAAAGCTCCAAACTAAATCTAGTGGATATGAATGCAGAGAAAGTGAAAGAAGACGGGAATTGAAGAAAAAAGAGAGAAAGGAGAGGGGACAAGATAACCTAAAGTCACTCTAAAAAATGTGTCTAAAATGTAGAGCTACCATAACCGAAGAAACAACCAAATACATATATAACAATTAACAAATAACAAAACAAAAAGTTGAAAAAAAAAACATTTTTTGAGAGGAAGAAGATTGTTGAATGATGTAACATGTTTGGTTACGTGCGTGAGGGGAAAGAATAGCAGATAAATGTTTTGTTGGGTAGGTATCACGTGTGTCCCACGTATGGAAAATGTTGATTTTTGTCAAAACATTTACAGTGAAATCCGTCTTATAAAGGGAGTGTGTGGTAAATAGTTGTTATCTTATAGTTGTTAGTTGATTAGGTTAGTAAGTTTGACTAGTTGATAACATTAGATGAACTATTTGATAAAATAGATGTTAGCTGATAGTTGATTACATGTAAAAATAACTTTTTCAAAAAGCAGATAAAAACTACTTTGAACAGCTTTTTGAATTTTAATATTTTGGAGCAATAAGTTGTAATAAAAAATTAATTAATTAAAAACACATATTAATTGTTTAACAAGTCAAGCAGTTAAGTTAAGAGTAATCAAATAAGTCAAAATTGACCGATAAACTAACTATGTTATCAAATAAGACTAAAATTTTGTGTGTGATTTACTTTTTTGTGTGCAGTTTATGAGTTATTATATGGGATTCAGATTTATCTAATGTACGCATTCATAAAATGGGGATGCGGTGTTTACTCGTCTTCACTAAAAAACAAATGTTGATTTTTCTTGAGTAATTTTAAGAGGGTATTAGAATCTCATCGTGTGAAGATATTTTGTTTAGAATATTGTAATATATTATTGTTAATTGTGTTAAATCTTTACAGCATGTTTGCTTCTTCGTGATGGTCCCAAATGGGTAGGGTGAATAGA